TTCATCCCGTCTGAATCAAACCTCGACTTAGTTGAGCACAAAGTCTTAGTTACCAACACACCCCATAAATTTCATCCAGTGAAGGGGAAATGAGCTCAGATTCTTCATGTCGGGGGCATGCCTTAGATCGGACATAAAAAAAACAGTGTCATTATTATCAAGTTGGAAAATAACATCAAGATTGAATTGTATTGTATTGAAGCTTTAGTGAGATGTATAAGAGCTTTCAGTCAAAAAATAGACCGCCGTCACAATACTTGTAAGAAAGTGAAACATCAAACGTGCAAAAATGTGATTTAACTACTAGCTGCATTAGAAGCTCAGAAGGAACGCTCTCCTTGTCGGCCAATATCCGGGTAAGATAGGATACCAAAGAGTTTCTGTAGGCAGATATCCGAGATGAGATGAGTTTGTAACAAAGTTTTAACAAAGCTAAAGCTTATCATGCCCCATAGGATTTTTACAGATAGGATGATAAGACAGCACCTTGAAGTACACCCTAACTATTGAGTGATGCCGTTAACTGTCTTATTCTCAATTTAACATAAAAGTAATCACCAACCATTCAAAAAGAAAAGTGCATCAACCAAACGATTTCAGCTTGTTAAGTAAAAGAGAACGGCGCACCGAGTCAAGAGCAGAAAAATAATCAAGAAATGCACAGTGCACATATTTGGCTTTCTCGTTTAGGACTTGCACGTGAAGTGAACTGGAGAAGAAACAGTATGCAACGTAGCGCGGTTTTGTTTGTATGCAAACTGATAAATGTCATCGGAGGTGGTGAGAGATAACTGAAGGCGATGCAGATCTGCCCGCTCTATCAGTTTCCAACCAGTGAAAGTGAGAGCAACTGGCCTGCAACATTTCGCAATTGGGGTTTTGTGGTTCGTTTGGGGATGGGCGTAATTCTCACCGGGCGCCAGCACTCCGGAATAGTTCCGTGTTCGAGTGCGAGATTGGCTGTGCGAAATTACGAGACAGTGACAGAGCACTATTTAAAAAGTGTAGGACTTAGTTTATCTGAACCAGGTGCAGTCCACATCTGTTGGTACACTTCACTAGAGGTAATGGGTTCAAATGAAGATGGGATGTTTGGAGAACTCGAGTCAATATAACTGGGGTGTCAGACGAAGCATGAATAAATGCAGCATCAAGTTGATCAATATCAACAGAAGCATTGGGAAGCATTTTCTTCTGCCTGCAGAGTAGTTTGATTCCACGCCACATAGTCCCTCGACCTAAAAAGCTTACTTGAATAAAGGTAATCCAACCGTATTTTTTCATTCTTGATCAGAAAAGATAGTCGTCGCATTTCAGCCCTTCTACCACATGTAAATGCTCGTTCCTTTTCACGACGAAGAAAAGAGTATTGATATTCCGCCATTTCGAAGTCACAAAGTTACCACGGGACAGAACATGTCAAAAACACGGTTTCACACGTCTGTTAGAAATGCCTGATTGAAAAGGAAAGGAAAGCAGTCGGTACCTACTTCAAGAGACTCTCTTAGCAGAGCGATATTGTCTGGGGAAAGATCTCGCTGACCGAACATGTGTCTAGGTCGAGTAAAACAAAAATGCTCTGAGTGTGAGTAAATCTTAGGTCTGACCAGGATCGGCTTATGATCACTGGTGCTCAAGGGGGAGAAACGTTTAGCAGAAAATGTGTCATCGTAATCTTTGATTATGTGATACAGATGAAAGGATTCTTTGGTTGGCTTAGTTATCAAGTCACTGAGGGTTAGATAGAACAAAGGATGCGGGAGCGTGGTTAAAGTTACCAGCTATTAGGTGCAAGTTGCCGGCAAGATATGGGGCAATAACCGGTAGGAAATGGTCATAAAACGTATCAATATGTGATAACCTACAATGGGTTGCAATGTAAAGGCT